GAGGAGGGCGAGAGGCCCAAGTGTGGGCGAGAGGAGGGGGGGACGGAGGAGACTGAGAACGAGGGAAGACAGCCGGAGTGGAGTCCGGAGGAGGAAACGTGGGACCGAACACAGGAGGAGAGGAGGGGAGACCAAGGGCCCGAAGGCCAGAAACAGGGGCCGGAGGCTGCTCCGGCAGCTGCGGCGGCTGCTGCTGCTGCTGCTGCTGCTGCTGCTGCTGTGGCTGTGGTTGCGGCTGCTGCTGCTGCTGCTGCTACTGCTAAAACTCCAACCGCTCACGCTCCACCCGCTGCTGAACCTCCGACCTCTCATGCTCCAAACGCTGCTGCTCCTCACGCTCTAGACGACGAAGGGCTTGGTAACGAGTCGGGTAGGGGTGAGGAGGAGGAGTGGTGTCAGGAGACGACGAAGAAGAACCGGCTCCACCCTCGACAGGACCCGGCTGAGCACCCCCAGAGCGAGGACCCCCTGCGGCAGCACGACCAGTACCTGTAGGAGGTGTACCCGCACCCCCAGTCGTGGCGCCGCCAGTGGCACCAGCACCAGCCCCAGACTCTCCAGCTCCAGAAACACCACCAGCTCCAGCACCACCACCGACTCCAACACGCTCGGGACGTGCAGCTGCGGCAGGTGCACGCTCAGCTCCAACTCCAACACCCCCAGAACCAGCACCGCCATAGCCCTCACCTCGAGCACCAACACCCTCAGAGTCCGCAGTGGCCGGGAGAGGAAGCGCCGACGGCTGCTGCGGAGGCTGTGAGGACGACTGTGGGGAAGGAGGAGAGACCTGGGGGGGGACCAAGGGAGGGGGGGTAGCCTGCGACACACCTGACGGAGCGGGAACCGGGGGGGGTACCGGAGGAGAGGGAGCGGGAGGAGGAGGAGCTGGGGCGAGGAAGAGGGGAGGGGGGGGAACCGGGAGACCTCGACAGGGGTACCGGACGAAGTAGGGGACGGACTCGTCGAAACTGACGTCACGAGAGTCAAAGAACCGGTGGGAGGGAGGGTGGTAAAAGGTGAAGTCAGAGGAGGCCTCAGGGAAACCAAGGAAGACACAGGGGACGCCGCGAGGTGAGAGCTTGTCCGCAGAGGTGTCGCGGACAAGTGCCAAGCAGCCCCAGACACTAAACCTCGACGCAACACCAGGGGACCCTGTCCAAAGACTGGTTGGTGAAGCCCCTGGCCGAGAGACGCGAGGCCAGAGGTTCAGCTGGTGAGCGGCGTACCGAGCCGCGTAGGGCCACAGAAAATGGGGCGCGCGGGCGTGGATCATGGAGGTGCGGGCAATCTCCATGACCAGGCCTAGCCGGCGCTCAGCAACCCCATTCTGCTGTGGAGAGTCTGGAAGAGTCCAGGACTGGGTGATGCCCTGCTCAGCACAGAATCTGGCGAGAATGCCGGAGCGAAACTCACCCCCACGGTCGGAGTGGAGACAACTGACACGACGACGACGAGTACTCTCGGTGGCGAGCAGCCACCGGATCAGCATAGAAGTCACGTCGGACTTCTTCGCCAAAGGGAACACGGTGGTGTACCGAGAGTAGTCGTCGACGACCACTAGGAAGAAGCTCTCTCGCTCAGGTCCAAGCCGTGGAGCGGGGCCCCAGACGTCTAAGTGGAGTGTCTCAAAGGGCTCGGAGGCTGGACGAAGGGAGGAGGAGTGAGGAGTGGCGCGCAGCCGACCCTGGACACAAGGACCGCACGGAGGAGCGGGGGACGGCGGGAGCGGCGGGAGGTCGCGGGGGAGGCCTAAGACAAGACGCTGACTGGACATAGCGCGGAGACGAGAGAGGGACGGGTGACCAAGGCGGTGGTGCCAGAGGAGGGCAGGGTGGGACAGCGACCGACACAAGCACGATGCAGCCACTAGACCTGGCACAGCTACCTGACTGGACCTGGCTACCTGGTGGGACGGGGGAACCGGACGGGTGTCGGTGTGGAGGGTGTACAGACCAGAGCCCGGCTCCTGACGAAAAGTGGCCATAGGGGCGTACGTGTCACCGTCCACACAGACTGCAGTGTCACCCGAAGGCTCAAACCAGACCCCGACGTGCTGTCTCGCCAGAGGAGCCACACCAACCAGGTTCCTAGAGAAAGTAGGAACGTGGAGGCCGGTCAGAGAACCGGAAGGGGCAGCTGGGCACGGGAGGGTAGTGGCGTGAGTCGCAATGACCGGTCCCGAGGAGGGATCGGCCAGTGCTACAGAAACCGGCGCCGAGAGTGGAGTAAGAGTCGTGCTGTCGCGGAAGAAGCACTGCGTGGCTCCGGAGTCCAGTGTGAAGGAGAGCGACGCGTCCGCCGAGGGAGCACCTGTACTAGTAGCTAGACAGGATCCTACACCAGCACCTACTCTAGCAACAGGCAAAGATCCTACGCTAGGTACAGGCAAGTAAACAGATCCGACAGCACTATAGTCAACATCAGCATACATGGCATAAGACCTAGCATCATCCATAGACATATCAAACACAGCAACACCACGAGCAAGGAGTGGTCCCCAGCGCGGTGGCGGGGGAGCGGAGGGACCGTGGTGCAGGACGTACAGGTCGTCAAGACGGCTGAAGCAGCGAGCAGCAGAGTGGTCAGGGCGGCCGCAGTACGTGCCCCTGCGCGGACCCGTCAGGATCCAGTACTCACAGGGACCAACGTCGCGGCCGGCCGATCGGGGTCCCCGACTAGAAGGGGCACCACTGCGCCCAGTGCTCGGGGGGCCCGTAGGTCTCCACTGCTGCGGGGGGGGCCCACTGCTGCGAAGGGCCCCACTGCTGCTGAGTGCCCCACTGCTGCAGAGTGCCCCACTGCTGGGGCTGCTGCTGAGGCGGACGCTGCTGTTGGCCCTGGCGCTGTTGCTGCTGTCCCTGCCGCTGCTGTTGTCCAGGCGGTGGCAGCTGCGGAGGAGTCTGCTGCTGCTGCTGCGAAAACCCCTCACCACCGTCTAGAGGAGAGCCGTCAGGTCCCGAGTCACCCCCGCCGCCACCCTCGCCACTAGTACTACCACCACCGCCGCCACCCGCAACACCCCCAGAACCCCCGCCGCCCTTCCCTCCCTTCTTGCCGGACTTGCCACGTTTCTGTCCGCCAGAGACAGAAACGGCCGCCGTCTCCTCAGAGGCAGAAGACGCGGCAGTGGCAAGCGAGGCAGTGAAGGTGGGAAGCTGTGGTACCGCACACCCCTCAAAGAGACGAGGAGGAGGCGCGGAAGAGGCGGAGGCAACAGCGAGGAGGTTACTCTCGATCTTCGAGAGAGCGGTCTCAAGAAGATCGATAGGAAGCTCAGTGGGGTGCTTCAGGAGAAGCGCGTCGCGGGCTGTGGCTAGACGGTCAGGGAGGCGAGTGACTAACTAGTGAATAGTGAGCCACATGGGGGGGGGTGCAAGGGCAAGCTGTTCCTCAGTGCAAGCGGCCTTGAAGCGAGCTTCAAGGGAGCGCAGGTGGGTAGCGAGGTCAGCGACAGTCTCAAAGGAGGCGAGGTCAGGGTAGATAAAGGGGACGAGGAGGCGGCTGAGGGAGGCAGAGGAGGGAGTGGAGTAGCGAGCAACAATAGCAGTGTAAAGGTCTGCAGCAGACTCGACCTGAGTGAAGTGGACAGCCTCAGTCGGCGGGAGAAGGTCGGTCAGGGCGAGGCAGGCAGCAGCGTCACGAGACTCCCACACGTCACGAGCGAGGAACCGGCGCTGGTACTCAGCCTCCTGCTCGGAAGTAGGCGGTGGGGTAGTGGGCAGCGGTGAAGGCTGCGGCGGGGCGGGCAGAGCACCGGACGCATGCGCAAACAGGTGCACGCCATCCTGGCGCTGGCTCCTAAGGTGGCGCTGGGCCTGCGTCAGCCAGGTACTAAAGTCGATCGCACGCCCCTCAGGGTCGAAACGGAGCACGCGAGACGTCGCCATGAGGGGCGAGGACAAGTGATAGCGGCCGCCAGCCGCGAGAGGAGGAGGAGAGGGAGGTGAGTGCGAGGCGGGTGCGCGCAGGCGGGGCGCGCACTGGCTGGGCGCGGGGCGGCGGGGCGCGCGCTGGCGGGGCGCGCTCCGGCGCGGCGCGCTGGCTGGCGTGGCGCGCGGGCGCGGCGCACTGGCGGGCGGCTAATCAGGGCGCGCGCTGGCGTGCGCGCTGGCGGGGCCCGCTGGCGTGGCGCGCTGGCGGGCGCGCTAGCGGGCGCGCTGGCGTGCGTGCTGGCGGGCGCGCTGGCGAGCTCGCTGGCGGGCGCGCTGGCAGGCGAGCCGGCGGGCTCGCTGGTGCGCCCGCTGGCGGGCGCGCTGGCGGGCTGGCGTGCAAGCGGGCTGGCGCGCAGGCTGGCTGGCGCGCTGGCTGGCTGGCCCGCTGGCGCGCTGGCTGGCTGGCGCGCTGGCGGGCTGGCGCGCTGGCTGGCTGGCGCGCTGGCGGGCTGGCGCGTTGGCTGGCTGGCGCGCTGGCTGCTGGCGCGCTGGCTGGCTGGCGCGCTGGCTGGCTGGCTGGCGCGCAGGCTGCTGGCGCGCCGGCTGGCTGGCGCGCTGGCTGGCTGGCTGGCGTGCTGGCTAAGGGCGGGGAGGGGAGGGGCGCGCCGGCTGGGGCGTGGGGTAGGGCGCTGGCGGGCTGGCAGGGTGCAGTGGTAACCCTAGTGGTAGGGAAGGGCGGGCCTAGGACTAGGAGCGCTAACCTACTGCTGATACCATGTCAGAATGAGAACTACAGCGGAATGCGTTGTGTTGACAGAATTGGGGTACATCACCTAACCCTAACTAGTTGTACCCCATATAGCCCAACCCACTACAGGCTATAATATTTGACATTCCCGTAAGGAATCGGACTCGATAACAGCTATAATATGAATCTATAAGAAAAGGGGGGTGTTATAGAAAATCACCCCAAAAGGGGGGGTATAGTACAAACGGGGTCGGATATAACACCCACCCCGTATTAGCTACCCGGGGGTGTACAATTACGGGGGGGTGTTTTATCCGGGAGAATACGGTAAGCGAATAGCCAAAGAAGTGCGGAGTGCACTGCACTGCATGACCCCTACTTCACTCCTCGTCCGCTACTTGTGCAGCCCAGGCCAGCTCAAGAGCATGGCTAAGAGCCCGCTCTATAATCACATCAAAAGCATCTTTGAATGTGTCATCGTTACCGGCATCAGCATTCACTAGCTCATTTGTGCCTGCCTCCCCTTCACCCCCCCATGACAGCCCCTCTTCCTCTTCCTGCTCTTTGCTTTCACCTCTGTCGCTCTTTATCACCCTCCTCACCACCCCATCCTCGTCCCCCGTTCGCCTGTACAGCAGCCGAGGCAGCAGCTGCATGATTCTGTGCCTCATGCGAGTCACTTTATAAGGAGGAAAAGAGGAGAGAAGGGCAGACAGGTTGGCAGAGCCGTTCAAAATGGCTTCGGCTGGAATGAAGACGTAGAAAGGCGCGTTGCGGGGAGAGCGGGACGAGCGAGAGCGGGACGATGACACAGACACAGCATCCCCAGAAGCCCCGACCTCAAACTCGATCCGCTCCACTTCATGCACCGGCAAGTGCCAAGGGAACTGCCGTTGCACCGACCAATCGGAGAAGACCACGGGGATGCACCCTGCGAGCATGGCGTCGAAGAAGGAGCGGCGGGTGGGGCTGTCCCCCCAGGGCTGCAGGCAGAAGAGCGAGTCCAGGTGCACGCGCATGACAATGCGGGGGTAGTCACACAGGTACACTGGGTTTGGCGCCACTGCTGCTGCCACCTCCTCCCCTGCCCCCGGGCATTCCCCATGCCGCCGCTGCTGCTGATGATGCTGATTGCTCTTGCTGGGTTTGTTGTTTGGATCTTCACATTGGATTGCGCAGTCCAGGAATCTGCACTGCCGCCCGGCAGCGTCGCATTCGGCCATGAGTTTGTCTCGTAGTGCCGCCCCGGCCACAGCAGCGGGCTCGGCGCCGCCTCGCTGGGATATGACGTCGCTGCGCCTGGCGCCCACAAAGGAAAATAGATACCTCCGCTGCCGCCGCTGCTTCTCATGCTGCTGCTGCTGCTGATGGTTCTTATGCTGTTGCTCTTCCTTCTGCTGCTGCTCTTGCTGCTGCTGCTGCTGTTCCCGCTGCTGCTTCTGCTGCTGGCGCTGCTGCTTCTGCTGCTGCCGCTGCTGCTCTTGCTGTTGCTTCTCCCGCTCCCGCTGCTCGTGCTCCCGCTGCTGCTCCCGCTGCCTCTGCTGCTGTTGCTGCTGCTGGTGGTGGTGTTGCTGCTGCTGCAACTTCCGCAGCTGAGGAGGCGCCCTCAAATGCTTTGGACGATCAACATGAGGCGAATCAATGCTTGCAAGCCGCCACCGTCGGTATTCCGTGGTCCCCCGCGCACCACTCTCTGCGCCCATGGCTCGCGCCCCTCTCTCCCTCAATCCCCCTCTGCCCTTCTTCCGCCTCTCAGCCTCACTCCCACCACCTTCTTCCCGCCGCCCCCCTCCTTCCCTTCCAAGGGCTCTCCTTTTCACCTTCCCTCTGTGCTGCAAGGTGGGCCGTGCTGAAGCAGCCGTCTTCTCCCCCCTGCTTGCTTTTCTCTCTCTGCTCTCCACTTCTTCCTCATCCTCCTCTTCTAAACCCTCTTCCTTGTCTCCTTTGTTTCCTCCTGCATCCCTCTCTCTTTCTCCCTCCTCCCCATCTCCCGCTTCTGCTACTTCCTCTCCCTCGCTCACCTCTTGCGCGCCGCCCGCTCCGTCGCCCACCACCTCCTCGCCCTGCCCTGCGCGCGTCTCACCACTGCTGACCTCTGCCGCCTTGCCCTCCCCTCCCAGCTCGCTTGCACTGACCCGCTCCTTCACGTCCCTGTTGTCCTCTCCCTCTTCTTCCCCCATTTTCTTCATCTCATCATCATCTTCCCCCTCCTCCTCTCCTCCTTCCTCTTCCCCCTCTTCCTTTTCCCCTTCCTCATCCGCCACTTGCGCTCCTCCTCTCTCCTTTCGGTCCATGCTCTCGCCCACCCCATCATCGTCGGTATCACCCAACACCTCTCTCTGCAGCTTCAGCCAAGCTCGCTTTACACCGTCTTCATCCTCCTCCTCCTCCTCGCCCTCCCCTTTCGCCTCCTTTACTTTACTCTCTCCCTCCAAATCCCTTCTCTTCTTCTCACCCTCCCCTATCCCTTCCTCTTCGTCTTCGACTCCCGCATCCTTTTCCCCTTCCACTTCCTCTTCCTTTTCCTCCCCCTTGTCCTTTTCCTCTTCCTCTCCCTTGTCCTTTTCCTCTTCCTCTCCCTTGCCCTTTTCCTCTTCCTCTCCCTTGTCCTTTTCCTCTTCCTCTCCCTTGTCCTTTTCCTCTTCCTCTCCCTTGTCCTTTTCCTCTTCCTCTCCCTTGTCCTTTTCCTCTTCCTCTCCCTTGTCCTCTTCCTCTTCCTCTTCCTCCTCCTCTTGTCTCTCCGTCTCACCCACCCCCTCATCTGTATCACCCAACACCTTCCTCTGCAGCTTCTCCCACACCTGCCTCACAACATCCTCCACCTCCTCCTCTTCTTTGTCCCCCTCCGTTTCCCCCTCTTCCTCGTCTCCCCTCTGCCTGTCCCTCCCTTTTTCTCCCTGCGTCGCCTCCTTCTCCTCGGCATCGGCATCACCATCATCTCCCTCACCTCCCTCTTCCTCCACCTTCCTTTTCTCCTCTGTCCCTTTCACAGTCTCCTTTCTCACCACCTCCTCCATATCCAATCCCTCCTCCTCCCCATCATCCCTCTCCTCCCCTAGTTTCTCCTCACCAATCTTCTTCCCACCTTTACTCTCCTCCTCCCCATACACCTGATTCTTCAGCTTCTTCCAAATCTCCTCAACTCGATCCCCCTCATTGCCACCATCACTGCCACCATCACTGCCACCATCACTGCCACCATCACTGCCACCATCACTGCCACCATCACTGCCACCATCACTGCCACCATCACTGCCACCATCACTGCCACCATCACCATCACCATCTCCATCACCATCATCATCACCATCACCATCATCATCATCACCCTCCGCTTCCCCAAGCTTACGCTCCAAAGTTCTCACCACCTCCTCCACCTCTCCCCCTCTCCCTATTCCCTCCTCACCATCCTCTTCACCTCCAACTCCCTCCTCTTTCTCTCCCACACCCCACTCACCCTCCCACTCCCCTTCCTCCCACTCCCCCCCCATCACCTTGCTCCTCCACTCATCTAGCTCCCTTTTGGTCCGAGGGTGGAAGTAACTCGGATAAGGCACACTCGTTACAGGAACACCTTCAGGGTACGCCTCTATCCCCACTATCACAGCGTTGCCCTGCCGAACCAGCCGTGGGTCCCGAAGAAGCGCCGAGCCTGGCCCGGGGCAGGTCTGGTAGGGGAAGCGGAAAAACTCCATGGCAATGTGGCCGAGCAGGAGGAGGAGCGGAGGTGAGGCGGACGCCGCATCACCACCACTACTGCCGGAGGCAGCAGCAGTAGCGACACTGCCACTATCCCCACCCCCATCCCCATCCCCATCCCCACCACCGCCACCACTATCACCGCCGCCACCAGCACCCCTCCCGTGAGCAGTAAAGGCAGCATCCAGTGCAGCGAGGCCCAGGGCGTCGGTAACGGAGCAGTTGGGCGCGGAGGAGAGGTGGCGCTTGACATCGTAGCCGGGGTAGTAGGGCACATACACCAGCTGTGCTGCAGCACGGTGGGGGGTGAGGCACGGGTACTGCTGCAGCCGCACGTGGAACAGCCGCTCCAGGGCGAACTGGCTGGTGGTATACCACCCGGGGCCGCCTATGTCCACCTGAGCAGTGGGTTCGAGAGAGTCTGCTGACTCTGCGGTTGAGTCTGCTGACTCAGTGCTTGTGTTTGATGAGTCAGTGGTCGTGTCTGCTGACTCAGCGCTAGAGTCTGCTGACACCACGAGAATGTCTGATGACTCAGCATCGGTTGCTGTTGCAAGCGTCTTCCTGCTGTGGCTGTAGCCCAGTTTGCCTCTGCTGCTCGCCTTCTCTCTCTTCACCCCTCGACTCCGTTTCTTCCTTCGTTCCCTGCGCTTGGACCTGGTAAAGGAAGCTGAAGCATCAGGAACCTCGAAATCGGTATTGGAGCGCCTTGTATCGCGTACAGGGCTGGCAGCAGCGGGGATGGGGAGCCCCATGCCATGGCAGGCGGCTAGATGCGGGTGGGCGGAGGGCGGACACACATTGGGGCATTGGGCGAGCAAGTGGCGGTTGAAGCGCGCAGGGAGGTCCAGAATGAAGATGCGCCGCCCCCTGCACGCGTCCTCACCGCCCTCCTCCGCACTGCTCGAGCCTCTCAAGCTGCCGCGGGATCGTTCGGTACCGTGCCTGCTGCTGCGGCTGCTGCTGCCAGTAGTGGCCGTGTGGTTGCTGCGGTGTGTGGCAGACGAACCACCGGCGTTGCTGCCAGACCTGATGCCTAGTCGGTCCCTTCTGCTGCTGCTCCTTGCTGGAGACTCGCTTCTTTGTCGTTTCATTTGCTGCTCCTCCTGCTGCTGCTGGGGGCCAGCGCTACCCGCCTCGGCCTCTCCCTCCGCCCCCCCATGCGGTTCCTCAAGCGAACCACCCCCCCTCGCTCCCACGCCCTCGCCTTCCCCTGCAGATGCCACTGCAGGTACGCCCGCTGCCGCACTGGCTGCTATGCTTGCACCTGATTCTTCTCCCAGTCCTCCCCCTCCCCCTGCTGCTAGTAATGATGCGGCGGATACGGATGGCTGTGCTGGCGTCGCTAATCTCCCGTCGCCCGCCAACAGAAGAGTCTCTCGTCGCACCACGCCGACTCCGCTGTGCGACGCGTCCTCCCTCTCGCCTGCTCCTAAACTTTTGGGTCCACGTGGCAGCGCGCTATGTGGCAAGGAGGTGCGGTTCGCCGCGAGCAGCAGCAACAGGGTCGGTATTGCGAAGAGCAACCCTAATCGCGTGGTTCGCGAAAATGCGAGGTTCGTCGCGGTGGTAACTACCCATCGCGTGGCACCGGAAACTACACGTGAGTGTGTCGGCCGGACTCTAGGAAAGTGTCGCCTCGAGTCCATTCCTGACGTCAGTTACCGTACAACATGGCTCGCTGACGTCAGACCAGAGTGTGACTACTTGGAAGCATTGCTCGGCGTCAGTGGCTTACGAAGCTGCCATTCACATGATCTTATGTTCACAGCTCATACGTCGCAGTCGTTGATACGGACAGTAGCGGAATTTGCGGAGGCGCGATCGGCGGCAGGAAGGGCCGCAGTGAGGCCGTCACCTGTCAAATTCTGATCACCTACGAGAGTAACCAGCGTTGTGGTTTCGTCAACCTGGGTCGCGCGCGATGACACCAGTGCTTTTTCGATAACCATTCGGTCGACCATGTAGCCGTCGCAGACGTGACGAGTGACAAAAATATTGCACTGTGCAAGTTGAGTTCGTATCACATCGCACGGTGCCTGCGTTGGCAGGGTTGGGTGACCAGGGAGGTGGCTGCTTTTGCAGACGGGAAGTTGGCAGCACCTTTCGCAAATTCGCGCCTTGGGGTTACTCATCGCAAGACAAAGCGGTGCTTTCTTGTCCCTCGGTGAGACACAGTTCGAACCTCACTTCGTCGTATGCCACAAACGATCGAGTAGGCTCCAATCTGGTGCCGCGTTTCAGAACCGAAACGACATGAAGTCATTTCAGGTGACAGAAAAGGCGACCATTTGGTGGTGGCAACAAAAATGTCATTCGGCAACATTGCACCCTCGTCCAACTTCGTGCTCGACATTCAAATGACGCGCAAACTATAGAACCTCGAGATTGGAACCACGCTTACAAGTTTGCCTACGGATCTCCTTGTTACCTTTTTTTGCTGCCTCTGCTCAGCTTGACGAGCACCTAAACCCTCGCTGCCCGCTAACATGGCGCTTGCTGTCGCAGCGCCCGCGCAATCCGCGTCGCCAGCAATCCTTTCCCTCGATCGTGCGACTTCCAGCCGCGCCTCGCATGTGTCGCACATCTCGCAAGTCGCCACAGCGCGCGCATTTCCGCGGGACGCGCGCCTTGCGGCGCACCTCGATGCCTTCGCGCTAGCCAGCGCAGCGAGGCCGTCCGCGCGGCAGGATTCGCACAAGCACCGCGCATGGCGCCTGCGAACCCGCGGGAGGACAGGTAAGGGCAGTAGATGCGATCCAACTGACCAGGGTGAATGAAAGGGACGCTGCGTTGCTGGGCTCGTTTCAGTGAGGCTTAGCTCGTCGCTCACATTCCCCTCTGGCGAGCCCTGATAAGCTCCTCCTCTTTCTCCCATGCTTATGCGCCGCGCCGTCCCTCCTCGCGTTGTTCTCGTTCATGGCTGCGCCCGTTTCGGTTGTTTTTTTTTGTTTTTTTTTGTTTTTTTTCTTTCTTTCTTTCTTTCTTTTTGGTTTTTTCCCCATATTGCATAAACCCTGATTTTCCGTCGCACTCCTTGCCTGGTGCATCGCAGGCGACGATGCGACGTTGTCGTCATCGTCGGATGACGTGCCCAAGGAAGCGAAGGAGCGAGCAGCGGCACAGGTGAGGCTGTGAGTGAGGACCTTGGGATTGCCGTCTGCACTGGCGTGCTGGTGCGAGCATGCGCAGTGCAAAGGGACTGGCGGAACGCACAGGAGGCCCACCACTGCCGCCACTCGTGAGGCTGTCTGTACAGGGCGCCCATGTGGCACTGTCCCCTTCTCCATGTGGTAACTTCCTGCTCATTACACTCCGATCCTGCTGCCCATTGCCGGTCTTCATCTATTGCTCGTGCATCAAGCCAGCCAGTTATGCCACGTGCCACATGCGGGTCACTGCCTTGCCGTGCCAGCCATGCAGTACTGACGGTTTTTGGCTCAATGACGTGCCAAGGGCTGCCTCTTCTGTCTGTGTGCCATGCACTGCCTGCCTCTGTGTGTGTGTGTGTGTGTGTGTGTGTGTGTGTGTGTGTGTGTGTGTGTGTGTGTGTGTGTGTGTGTGTGTGTGTGTGTGTGTGTGCGTGTGTGTGCGTGTGGGCGAGCATGCGAGCAGGAGAAGGCGCGGTCACTGGTGGGCGACCTGAAGGGCACCAGCATCTTCCTCGTCGGTGCGTGCCGTGCCACACTGCCACGCCAAACACACCACCCTCTTTGCCTCATCACCCTCTTCTGTCGCACTGCATATTCCATGTTTGGCACCACTGTACCGTTTTTGTATCGCATCACTCTATGTTTGCATCACTCTCAGCACATCACTCTATAATGCACCTGTCCATTACAGGCATTACCCCATGCGTGCATCCCATCACCCATGCGTGCATCATCCCATCACCCATGCGTGCATCATCCCATCACCCATGCGTGCATCATCCCATCACCCATGCGTGCATCATCCCATCACCCATGCGTGCATCATCCCATCACCCATGCGTGCATCATCCCATCACCCATGCGTGCATCATCCCATCACCCATGCGTGCATCATCCCATCACCCATGCGTGCATCATCCCATCACCCATGCGTGTGCCACGGTGTGAGCAGGCATGATGGGCAGTGGCAAGACCACAGTGGGCACGCTCCTCGCTGACCTGCTCGGCTACTGCTTCTTCGACAGGTGCCCGGGGCTCCTCTTGCCACTTCCCTTCCCTTCCCTCCCTCCCCTCCCTCGCTTCCTTCAACCCTCCCTCCCTCCCTCCCTCCCTTCCTCCCTCCCTCCCTCCCTCCCTCCCTCCCTCCCTCCCTCCCTCCCTCCCTCCCTCCCTCCCTCCCTCCTTCCCTCCCTCCCTCCCTCCCTCCCTCCCTCCCTCCCTCCCTCCCTCCCTCCCTCCCTCCCTCCCTCCCTCCCTCCCTCCCTCCCTCCCTCCCTCCATCTCTCCGCACGCTCTCTTCCTCTCTCCATCGTCGGCACATCACTGCCTGCTTTCACATCTCACCTACGCTTGCGTTCCCTTTCCACATTTTGTACCATAAGCGTGTGGCGCACACATAGTGCTCGTACATTGCTATACGCTTATTCCTGCTCTTGTGGCAAACGCCCTCTTCTGCTACCCTCCTTCCGTGCCTCTCATCACCTTCTCATCACCTTCTCATCACCTTCTCATCACCTTCTCATCACCTTCTCATCTCCTGTTCCTCCCCCCCCATGCTTTGTCTTGCATGCTCTCGCCGTGCCTCCCCTGCCTCTTCTTCTCCCTCTCGCCCACCCGCCTGCCCGGCAGCGACCGGGTGGTAGAGGCGGCAGCAGGGGGCGCGTCGGTGGCGCAGATATTCGCGGAGAACGGCGAGGAGGAGTTTCGCGAAATTGAGGTGCGGCGGAGGTGGGGGGGAGAGGGGGGAAGGGAGAAGGGGGAAGTGAGAGGAGGGTGGGGGGGAAAGGAAACGAGAGGGGGGAACGGAGTGAGGGGAAGGGAGTGTTGGGGGGAGGGGAGAGGGAGAGGGGGGAAGGGAGTGGGGGAAAGGGAAGGAAGTGTGAGCTGGTGTGTTATGTGGTTACCAGACGAGCCGGTGTTTGCGTGCCAGCTACACGAGCTTAACAAGGTGGTTCGTTTCTCAATACCAAGCACACCCTGAACCTTTCTACAAATGGGCCAGCAGTGCAGCTTGTACCTGCAAAGCAAGTTCCCCCCTCAATGCTTCTCGCCAGTGTGACATGCTGCTGGGGTCGTCTTCTCGCCAGTGTGACATGCTGCTGGGGTCGTCTTCTCGCCCTCCTTGGCCCGCTTTCACGCTTCAGTGCGGCCAGGCCAAGCCAAGCCATTGTCCATGGGTGCACACCTCCACATGCACCTTGTCTTCGCCCCTCAACATCCCCCGTCGCTCCCCTCCCCTCCCCTTCTCTTCCCTCCCTCCCCTCCCCTCCCTTCCCCACTCTCTCCCTCCCATGCCGTCCCCTCGTCTCCCCTTGGCGTCCCTGTTCCTGACCCCCCCTGCACAGACGCGAGTGCTGGCGGAGCTGTCGTCCATGGGTCGACTCGTGGTGGCCACGGGTGGGGGGGCTGTCACTCGCCCTGTCAACTGGTCAGTTCTGAACTGGCTTATGCGCTCACAAGGTGCTTGGCTCACAAGGTGCTTGGCTCACAAGGTGCTTGGCTCATTCGTGTACTTGGTTGGCACGTGCTGGTTGAGATGCCGTGCCATCCCGTGGAGTGGAGAGGGGTGGAGTGGAGTGGAGTGGAGTGGAGTGGAGTGGAGAGGAGTGGTGCATGGATCACATTGCGCCTCCTACACTCTCCCACCCTCTCATTCAGTCAATCATCCCTCTCAAAACCTATCTCTCCCACGGGGTCACAGTGCATTTATACGTGCTCATGGAGCAGACTGGCACCCAGTGCAGGCAGGCTCGTGCCTCTCACTTGCCCCCTCCCTCAACGAACCCTCCTTGAGCTACCTGTCGCACGGGGAGCACCTGGCAGAGAGGGTAGGCTCGTGGCCTCCTCTCGTATCCCTTTTCTTCGGCTTGACCCTTGCACCCACCAGGACCTACCTCTCCCCAAAAGTCACGGTGCGTCTCCACTTGCCCATGGAGCACCTGGCAGGCAGAGCGGTGGGGTTGTGGCTCATCTCATCCCTGCTTCCCCCGCATGCACCTCGCATCGCAGGAGCTACCTCTCCCATGCTGTCACCGTGCATCCGGACGTGCCTGTAGAGCAGAGCACCTGCCAGAGGGAGTGGCCTCGTGCCTCGTGGTGGCCTCGTGGCTTCCTCTCTTATCCAGACTCTCGCCTCTTTCCCCATGCACCCGCGCAGGAGCTACCTCTCGCACGGGGCGACAGTGCACCTGGACGTGCCCGTGGAGCATCTGGCAGAGCGGGCAGGCTCATGCCTCATGGTAGCCGCGTGGTGTGCTCTCTCTCATCCCTGCTCCCTCCCCAACGAGCCCACCAGGAGCTATCTGTCGCACGGGGTGACAGTGCATCTGGACGTGCCCGTGGAGCATCTGGCAGAGCGGGTCGTGGCGGTGGGCACAGCTGTGCGCCCGCTGCTCTCGCAACCCACGCAGGGGGAAGGGGAGGGCGGAAAGCAGCAAGCAGCAGATGAGAGCGATGAGTACGGCAAGGTGAGCGAGGAGTACAGCAAGGTGAGCGATGAGTACAGCACGGTGAGCGATGAGTACAGCAATGTGAGCGTTCACTGCACGGCATTGGCATTGGCACTGGCACTGAAATTGCTTTGCCTTCTGTTGCGTAAATCCATGGAAGGGGTTGAGGGGGGAGGCGATGAAAGCAGCAGGCAGCGCATGAGAGCAATGATTACTGCAGACAGATTGAGCTCGGCCTTGCTGGGGCAGAGTGAGCTCGGCCTTGCTGGGGCAGAGTGAGCTCGGCCTTGCTGGGGCAGAGTGAGCTCGGCCTTGCTGGGGCAGATTGAGCTCGGCCTTGCTGGGGCAGAGTGAGCTCGGCCTTGCTGGGGCAGAGTGAGCTCGGCCTTGCTGGGGCAGATTGAGCTCGGCCTTGCTGGGGCCATGGCTGTGGTGGTGGCGTGGCCATGGGCACGGCCATTCACGTGCAGCGGGGGGACTGTCTGAGGAGGTGGAGGCGAGGGGAGTGAGCGGCCTGCACCAGGTCACGGAACAATGCAACTTGCTGCTGCCTACTGGATCGCTGAACAGCCTTTGCCCTCTCTCGTTTTCTTCCCTTAGCTCACGCCTGCGTGCTCATTGGCACCTCCCTTGCAATGCCGCCTTCCCCCCTACCTGCATGGCCAGACGTTGACGCGCCTGGCGGGGCTATTAGGGGAGCGCAAGTCGCTCTACAGCAATGCAGACACCACCATCTCCCTGCAAGGTGCGCTCTCCCCAAACCTCTCCTCTCTCCCCCAACCCCCCGCTCAACCTCCTGTCTCCCCCTACCCCTTGTCTTACCCTCTCACCCCTCCCCTCACCTGTCCCGCTTCACCCTCCCACCCCGCGCCATCCTTCATGCCTGGCTGCTGACCCTCGCTCAAGCTTCGCTTGACATCTGCTCCACCGCTCCACCGCACACCACCCCTTTGCCCCCACCGTGCGCCACCCCTTTGCCCCCACCGTGCGCCACCCCTTTGCCCCCACCGTGCGCCACCGTTTGCCGCATCTTCCGTGTTGCTCTTGAGTGAACCAATCCTTGTGTGCACAACCCTTCCCCCATGCATCTGCTCTGCATCTGCTTCACGTGCAGAAGTGGCGATGCGCTCTGCCTCACAAGTGCACGAGGTCACACCCACACGAATCGCTCTCGAGGTCAGTCTAATTCTTCGAAGTACTCTTTGCACACACACAAGCGCTTCTAAAGAACACGAAAGGCTTTGCCTTTGGCACACTGCTTTGAAGTCAGTTGGATGTGCGCTGCTTCCCCAACCAATTGGGAAGCGTTTCCCTTTACATTTGAGACGTCTCAGTAGTGATGCCGAGAGCCACCCAACTCATGGCGCGTGTCCCTTGCTGTTGGTAAGGTCTCTGAGTATTGCCATCCTGCCAACACCCCAACATGCATGTCGTTCTGATGAATGTTGTTTCACAAATTGCAAGATACAGACTGCTTGTAGTGGGGGGAGAGGGGGGAAGGAGGGGGTGTAAAGCACAGGAAGAGCAGACACTCAGTGATCATCATGTGGGCGTGGTTGCTGGTTGCTGCTGGTACATGCGGGTTCACAGATTCGTAGGTAAATCCTCACTGGCTTTCTGCACTGCCCTGTGCATTGCTGTCCCCCTGATGTTTCTGCTGTGCCCTGTCATGCGCCCATGCGGTGGTGCCGTGTGCTGTGCTCCTCAGATCTTGGAACGGCTGGAGCAGATGGTGGCGGAGAGGCAGGCCAGAGACGCTGCCCTCAGAGCCAAGGCAGCCTAGTGGACACTGCTGCTGCACACAGCCCCTGCTGAAGGCAGCTCTGCTGGGGGCAGAGCACCACTCCCACCATCTCACGTACTCGTTGAGCACTTGCAGCTATTTGTCCAACCCATGCTGCTTGCCACAGCTGCTAACAAGCTTCTCTCTCCCACCTTATCAACTCTTATCAACCCCTCTCAACCTCTCTCAACCAGTCTCGTTCATTCTTGAAGTTGATGTGGCCCATTTCAGCCGATCAGCCGATCAGTTGTGCTGCACATGGTTTGAAATGTTTGGCTAGTGCCTCCAGTCACACAAGCAGCAGTCAAATTTAAGTGATTGATAAGCAACTAATTGCTCCTAAGCTGATACGGTAGGTCTGTAGATCATGCAAACCATCAATACCATCAAATTAGCTGCATACAGAGTTGGATGATACCATGATTAGGCCAGTGTGTATTGCAGTACTGATTCAGTCTTCACGACGACCACTCCATCTAGAAGACTAATCAGAAATCAGTGAACAGACAGTTCAATCATGAGTCATTGCTAGCTCAGTGTGACCGTAATGGCAACACTACCATCCCCGCACAGAACCACCACCATCTCTGCGCCACGTGCGCCCAGACCCCTCTTGGCCCCTACGCCTTTCCCCCCCACTGCGCGCTGCATCCAAACCGTTATCCCCTCACAACAGCCCTCCACTTTCAACCACCGTCGCATGCTCATTGCATCTCTCCCCTGCCCTCCCCACGCTGTGTTCCATTGCCTGACAAAGCTGAGTCGGAACCTCACCCTTCCACTCCTCACCTGCCCTCTCCCTCGCGCCTGCTCCCGCGTTGCCTCAGCCCCCCCTCCCCACTGCTCCCCGCGCTGAAATCCCGCATAGCCACATCGCCCCCATCCTCGTCCCCCTCGCTGCGCCAGTTGGGGCGCAGTGGCCCCGGCACAGGGGCGTTGTGCGCGGTGAGAGCTGCCTCTGCCTGCTCGCCCAGGCGCCGCAGCACGGCCATGATGATGGGGCCTGCCCGCGCTGCCAGGGTGATCAGCCCAGGCACCTGTATGCAGGAAAGGGGCAGACAGGGGGGAGAGGAGGGGGGATGAGAGGGAAGTGAGATTCTAGGAGCTTTCAATCATGGCGCGTCTGCCTGCTCGCCCAGACGCTGCAGCACACGATGATGATTAGGTCCTGCCCGGGTAGCAAGAGTGATGAGACCAGGAAGCTGCAGGAGGGAGAGAGAAGAGGGGGGACGGTGGAGGGGTGGATGAGTGATTTCTAAGGGTCTTAAGAGTTTAGGGTCGCCGTGGAGGGGTGGATTCTAGGGGTCTTTAGAGTTTAGGGTCACGGTGGAGGGGTGGATGAGTGATTTCTAGGGGTCTAGAGAGTTTAGGGTCACGGTGGAGGGGTATGAGTGATTTCTAGGGGTCTTTAGAGTTTAGGGTCAGGGTGGAGGGGTGGATGAGTGATTTCTAGGGGTCTTTAGAGTTTAGGGTCACAGTGGAGGGGTGGATGAGTGATTTCTAGGGATCTTAAGAGTTTAGGGTCACGGTGGAGGGGTGGATGAGTGATTTCTAGGGGTCTTTAGAGTTTAGGGTCACGGTGGAGGGGTGGATGAGTGATTTCTAGGGGTCTTAAGAGTTTAGGGTCACGGTGGAGGGGTGGATGAGTGATTTCTAGGGGTCTTTAGAGTTTAGGGTCACGGTGGGTGCGCCTCCAATAATCTTCTTCCATTACTATGTCATACGCATCAATCGACAAGCCTTTAAACACCCATCAAAGCACGGCAGCACCTTAGATCAGGTTGCAACACAGGCAGCAGCTACCGTGTGTTGGGATGGGACAAAGCATCTGACCATGCCGTTGTCGAATATGCCCCCCAGGTCTAGCTGAGACATGACCTCCCGCCCCATGAAGAAGAGAAACACTCCCAGTAGCAGCAGCACGGGGTTCCTGTGGCAGGGGACAGCGGGGGGGGGAGAGGAGAGAGAGGGCGCAGGGAGAAGCAGCCAGCAGGGAAAGGAAGGAGGTGGGGGTGCATGGAAGGGGTGAGCTTGCTCACTGCAAAGATCAAGGCCTTCTAGGCCGTGTTGGTTCAAATGCTTGGTGTGGCTTGCTGAGGTCGGAGCAGCTCCTACCAACACCCTACTGCCGATGGTCAAGCAAGTGTTTGGCCATGCAGCAGGTGCAGCAGACAGGTCAGGCCTTGCCGATGCTACCTGGCACACTACCTTGCCGATCCTACCTGGCACACTACCTTGCCGATGCTACCTGGCACACTACCTTGCCGATGCTACCTGGCACACTACCTTGCCGATGCTACCTGGCACACTACCTTGCGAACTGCAACAACGAGAAGTAATCCCACCTGAGCACAGCCATGAACTCGTTCCACCCCACCTGAGCACAGCCATGAACTCGTTCCACCCCACCTGAGCACAGCCATGAACTCGTTCCACCCCACCTGAGCACAGCCATGAACTCGTTCCATCCCAGCACCACCATGGCTAGGATGGCCCACGGCGGGGGCAGCCACGCGTTGTTGCGCCGACTCGCCTCCTGTGAGGGATGGGGCACGGGGAAGAAAGGAGAGACAGGGAGAAACATCAACGATCGCATACAGGTGGCACAGATTGCCGTCCAGCTTGCCGTCCAGCTTGCCGTCCAGCTTGCCGTCCAGCTTGCCGTCCAGCAAGCACTTGCTCTGATCTTGTGGGACCCGGAGCAAGAGTACATTGTCAAAGCCGATACTTTCTTGTCGAAACCAGGCAGTGGAGCAGTTTAAGGTAAGAGCAAGGAAAAGGAGTCAGGGAGAGCAAGGAAAAGGAGTCAGGGAGAGCAAGGAAAAGGAGTCAGAGAGAGCAAGGAAAAGGAGTCAGGGAGAGCAAGGAAAAGGAGTCAGGGAGAGCAAGGAAAAGGAGTCAGGGAGAGCAAGGAAAAGGAGTCAGGGAGAGCAAGAACACCAAGATCAGTAGGCAAGTATGTGGGGCAGAGCTGAACTCTACCATTCTCCCCGCAGCGCACCTGCGTCTGCATGGCCTGGGCCACCACGTACTGAGTCTCCGCCTTGAACTTGCCCCACAGCGCTCGGCACTGCCCGGGTGTGAGGAACGTGCAGTCGGGGGCGATCTGATGGGCGGGGGGAGGAAGGGGGGGAAAGGGCGCTTGCGCAGGACTTGGCAGCAAAGGTGGGTACGAGGATGCTGGTCGTTAGGCAATCTGGCGCACTGGAGACTAGTTGATTTCTGGTGGTGGAAGAAAAACAAACGAGAATGGGAATAAAAAGGGGAAAGGACAGGAAGGAGGATGTGATGATTAAAAAACAGCGCCTCACCTTGTCTTGTCCCATGTGCAAAAAGCCAAGAAGCATTGCCATCCACTCCCTCTTGCCATCAACCGACTCACCTTTTCCCACTTGCTTGCCGCCAGCAGCCCTGCCGACGTGAACACCCGCTGCACTCTCCTGCTCCCCGCCTTCCCCTCCCCTTCCCCTTCCCCTTCCCCTTCCCCTTCTACTTCCCCGTCCCCCTCCCCCGACTCCCCGTCCTGGGTCCGAGACGAGTCACCGCCCTCCCCAGGAGCGCCCTCCCCCAGAAGAGACAAGAGCGTGGGCTCGATGGAGTCGTCTACCGTGTCCAGGCGCATCGCCGCCACCACTGCCAGCAGCCGCAGCGCCTGATGGGGCGGAGACCGGGGAGAAAGAGGAGGCAAGAGGAAAGAAGGATGGAAGGGGGCAAAGAGGGAAAGGGAGAAAAAGGAAGGGAGAAAAAGGAAGGGAGAAAAAGGAAGGAAGAAAAAGGAAGGGAGAAAAAGGAAGGGAGAAAAAAGAAGGGAGAAAAAGGAAGGGAGAAAAAGGAAGGGAGAAAAAGGAAGGGAGAAAAAGGAAGGGAGAAAAAGGAAGGGAGAAAAAGGAAGGGAGAAAAAGTAAGGGAGAAAAAGGAAGGGAGAAAAAGGAAGGGAAAGCAGGGAGGGAAAAGGGGAGGGGAGATACGGAGGTGGACGACGTCTGCTCGGCAAGCGCAATTCAGGGTACAGGGTTTCGGCAGCTCAGCAACCCCCCCCCCCCCTCCTCCTCCCCCTTTTCACCACCTTCCCCCCCCTTCACTACCTCCTCTCCCCCTTCACCACCTCTCCCCCCTTCACCACCTACCCTCCCCACACTACCTCCCCCCCCCCTTCACCATCTCTCCCCCCCTTCACCACCTCTCCACCCCCTCACAGTCTCCTCCCTCCGACCCCCCCTCACCCCCTCCCTCCCTGTGTGCCTCACGGCCTCCCTCCCTGTGTGCCTCACCGCCTTGCGAGCATCGAAGGCAATGGCCTTGATGTCGTCTCCCTCCGTCCACTTGCGCGGCAGACCCTGGTCGTCCTGCGAGAACACCACGAAGAACCTGTGCATTGCCAAGTCAGGGAGAGGGGTGAATAGCTCTGCAGTGCTGTTTTATTTGGGTGCCTTTAAAACGCACTTGCGCGGCAACCCCTGGTGGTCTGCAGATTCCAACGGCAGGGGGAGGAATGAAGTGCAAAAGGGTGGTGCAGTGTGAATTCAAGGAGTCCACTATACATTGCATGGGCAGCATGGAGAGGAATGACGAGCGGTGCAGAGCGGTGGAGGACGAATTGAAGGGCATAGTGGATGGATGACATGTGTCCTGTAGCCGGGAAGCAAAGACTCTCTTCTCCACACACACACACACACACACGCACGCACGCACGCACGCACGCACGCACGCACGCACGCACGCACGCACGCACGCACGCACACAACACCACAGAATTCAGTAACCATCGTCATGAGTCCACTCCGCCACAACCCCTCCTCCCCAATCCTCACAACCAGACGTTCCCTCAACCAGCTCACTCCACTCCTCTCCACTCCACTCCAGGAGAGGCAGCACAAGCTCACTCTTTCACCACACCCGCTGCTCCTCCATCCGCACACTCAAGAGTCCACTCCCAATCAATCAACCCCACTTTCGAGTCCCAAACAGCCCAACCCAAGGCGGCGTGGCCATCAACTCGCACCTGTCCTTCATGAGCGACAGCGCATGCTTGCTCTCCCTCTTCACCCGCTCCTCCACCACCTTCCTCCCCGCCGCCTCCACCGCGCCCTTGAGCCGTGTGTGCTCGTCGTCCCCCAGCTGGAACCCCGCCACGGCCTGCTCCACGTCGCTGCATGCGCCGTCCAGCTGGTGGAAGAACACGGCTCGGATGTCCCGCCACGTGTTGTCCGTCACTGCCTCTAGCAGCGCTGCTATGGGCTCCGAGATTGCCTCTGACAGGGACGCCTGGGGAGGAGAGGAGGGGGCGGAGGGTGGGTGGGAGGCAAGAGATGGGAAGCGAGAGGTACGGAGCAAGAGGAGTCATCAAGCGCGGCTGCTCCTCGTCCTCCGCCAGGAGAAACTTCTCGGATATCCCGCCACGTGTTCTCTCTGATGGCTTCTCGTTCTGCCGCTATGGGCTCTGATACGTCGTGTGATAGGGACGCCTGCGGGCGGCAAGAAGGGGGATGCAAGAGGAGGAAGAAAGAGGTGGGAGCGGGCAGTAGGATGGAGGGTTGGGGGCTCTTGAGCGACATGAACTGAATCTCGAGCAAACATATCCTCCTCTTCATCATGCCAAAAGCCTAACCCTCACAACATCCTCTGGAAACAAACGACCCGTCCAGTCAGACACACACCACCTACCCAAACCAAACCACACTCACCTCTGCATCCGTGACGATCTGTTTGAGCTTCTGTGATCGCAGCAACGCCACGTGGGATTCCATATCAGCCATGAGCTTCGCCGTCACGTCCTCCACCGACCAATTGAACAGCGCCACGTCAGCGTCTGGAATTATGGGGCAGAGACAGAAGCAGCGAGTCAAGGCAAGTTGAGCACAACAGCAGGCCTCGGTTGTCGCCTTCATCAGCAGCCAACTCGGGGATTGGAGGTGGGCAGAAGAATCGAATGCGAGCGTGGAATGTGCATGCAGTGAGGAGGAGCAGCACCGGCATGGCAAGCTAGCACAGCGTTCCCATTGGGACACAACACAACACAGCACTCACCCTCAACATCGGAGTCAAAGGAGACAGCAGCAGCCTGCAGGCACGCAGCAGAGGAGTTGGCAAAGGAGGCAGCGCTGCCCTCTCGCCCCCCTGTCTCTTCGTCCAGGTCCCTCTTGAAGGAATCGAAGCAGCGAGCTGCTGCCGCCGCCACCACTGCCGTGTGCACTGGGCGGATGAGCTGATTGGAGGTGGCGGGCCAGAGGGTGCGCACGGGGAAGGGATGAAGAGGTTAGGACGACACAAGAGAGACGTGGGTTGGTCCCCTTTGCAGCCCCCCTGTGACGCAGCGAGCTGCTGCCGCCGCCACCACTGCCATGTACACTTGACGGATGAGCTGATTGGAGGGGGGAGACGGCTGGGGTTGGAAAGAGAACAGGAGACGTGCGGCATGGGAACACAGGTGTGAGGAGTAAGGGGGAGCATGAGGTAGAAAGGGTGCTGGCAATACAGCTAGCATTAAAAGGTCAAGGGAGATGGCAGCATGAGGGCTTGGGGGAAACAAAGTTCAAACCCATTAGAAAGAAAGAGGATAAGAAAAGAGAGAACGAGATTTAAGAGACGAGAGAAACAGAAACCAACGGGAGCAGTTCCAAGTATCCCAAGCCCAACGCACGTGGAAATTCAAGCCTCTCTTTCCCCCCGCCTGCCTCCTTTACCCCTTGCAGCACTCACGGCGCTCATGCCCCCTTGCAGCACTCACAGCGCTCATGCCCCCTTGCAGCACTCACGGCGCTCATGCCCCCTTGCAGCACTCACGGCGCTCATGCCCCCTTGCAGCACTCACGGCGCTCATGCCCCCTTGCAGCACTCACGGCGCACATGCCCCCTTGCAGCACTCACGGCGCTCATGCCTTTGAGCAGGAACTGGCGCTTGCTGTCCCTCACTCCCTCCTCGAAGTATGCCGCCTCCGAATCGTACCTGGAAAACAGTGCAGGGGGGGAACACGGGAAGCAGTAGAGGAGAGGCAGCAAAGAAAGACTCAGCAGAGGGGAAGAGGGAGTGCAGAAGGAGTATACACGCGGCACGCCCATCAGAAGGAGTATACACGCGGCACGCCCATCACACCCTCCTCAAAGTATGCTGCCTTCGCATCACAGCTGGGAAGCAGTGCAGAGGGGGGGCACAGGAAGCAGTACAGGAGAGGCAGCAGACGAGAGGGAATGAGGACAGGGTGAACACGCATGGGGCATGTCCCTTTCTCTGCGCCCTAGCTGAGAGGAAGGTGAGGGTGGTGATGGGAGCGTGGAAAGCGGGCATTCTCGATCCCTCCCGCTGCCTCGCCGTTGCCAGTGAACAAACGCAGAGGAACGGAAGCAGCGATAGGGAGGCGGAAGGAATAATAGACAAGCTGAGGAAGGGGTAGTAGACAAGGTGAGGAAGGGATAGTAGACAAGGTGAGGAAGGGAGAGTAGACAAGGTGAGGAAGGGATAATAGACAAGCTGAGGAAGGGATAGTAGACAAGGTGAGGAAGGGATAGTAGACAAGGTGAGGAAGGGATAGTAGACAAGGTGAGGAAGGGATAGTAGACAAGCTGAGGAAGGGATAGTAGACAAGGTGAGGAAGGGATAGTAGACAAGGTGAGGAAGGGATAGTAGACAAGCTGAGGAAGGGATAGTAGACAAGGTGAGGAAGGGATAGTAGACAAGGTGAGGAAGGGATAGTAGACAAGGTGAGGAAGGGATAGTAGACAAGCTGAGGAAGGGATAGTAGACAAGGTGAGGAAGGGATAGTAGACAAGCTGAGGAAGGGATAGTAGACAAGCTGAGGAAGGGATAGTAGACAAGGTGAGGAAGGGATAGTAGACAAGGTGAGGAAGGGATAGTAGACAAGCTGAGGAAGGGATAGTAGACAAGCTGAGGAAGGGATAGTAGACAAGGTGAGGAAGGGATAGTAGACAAGGTGAGGAAGGGATAGTAGACAAGGTGAGGAAGGGATAGTAGACAAGCTGAGGAAGGGATAGTAGACAAGGTGAGGAAGGGATAGTAGACAAGGTGAGGAAGGGATAGTAGACAAGGTGAGGAAGGGATAGTAGACAAGCTGAGGAAGGGATAGTAGACAAGGTGAGGAAGGGATAGTAGACAAGGTGAGGAAGGGATAGTAGACAAGCTGAGGAAGGGATAGTAGACAAGGTGAGGAAGGGATAGTAGACAAGCTGAGGAAGGGATAGTAGACAAGCTGAGGAAGGGATAGTAGACAAGGTGAGGAAGGGATAATAGACAAGCTGAGGAAGGGATAGTAGACAAGGTGAGGAAGGGATAGTAGACAAGGTGAGGAAGGGATAGTAGACAAGGTGAGGAAGGGATAATAGACAAGCTGAGGAAGGGATAGTAGACAAGGTGAGGAAGGGATAGTAGACAAGGTGAGGAAGGGATAGTAGACAAGGTGAGGAAGGGATAGTAGACAAGCTGAGGAAGGGATAGTAGACAAGGTGAGGAAGGGATAGTAGACAAGGTGAGGAAGGGATAGTAGACAAGCTGAGGAAGGGATAGTAGACAAGGTGAGGAAGGGATAGTAGACAAGGTGAGGAAGGGATAGTAGACAAGGTGAGGAAGGGATAGTAGACAAGCTGAGGAAGGGATAGTAGACAAGGTGAGGAAGGGATAGTAGACAAGCTGAGGAAGGGATAGTAGACAAGCTGAGGAAGGGATAGTAGACAAGGTGAGGAAGGGATAGTAGACAAGGTGAGGAAGGGATAGTAGACAAGCTGAGGAAGGGATAGTAGACAAGCTGAGGAAGGGATAGTAGACAAGGTGAGGAAGGGATAGTAGACAAGGTGAGGAAGGGATAGTAGACAAGGTGAGGAAGGGATAGTAGACAAGCTGAGGAAGGGATAGTAGACAAGGTGAGGAAGGGATAGTAGACAAGGTGAGGAAGGGATAGTAGACAAGGTGAGGAAGGGATAGTAGACAAGCTGAGGAAGGGATAGTAGACAAGCTGAGGAAGGGATAGTAGACAAGGTGAGGAAGGGATAGTAGACAAGGTGAGGAAGGGATAGTAGACAAGCTGAGGAAGGGATAGTAGACAAGCTGAGGAAGGGATAGTAGACAAGCTGAGGAAGGGATAGTAGACAAGCTGAGGAAGGGATAGTAGACAAGCTGAGGAAGGGATAGTAGACAAGGTGAGGAAGGGATAGTAGACAAGTTGAGGAAGGGATAATAGACAAGCTGAGGAAGGGATAGTAGACAAGGTGAGGAAGGGATAGTAGACAAGGTGAGGAAGGGATAGTAGACAAGCTGAGGAAGGGATAGTAGACAAGCTGAGGAAGGGATAGTAGACAAGGTGAGGAGGGGATAGTAGACAAGGTGAGGAAGGGATAGTAGACAAGCTGAGGAAGGGATAGTAGACAAGGTGAGGAAGGGATAGTAGACAAGGTGAGGAAGGGATAGTAGACAAGGTGAGGAAGGGATAGTAGACAAGCTGAGGAAGGGATAGTAGACAAGCTGAGGAAGGGATAGTAGACAAGGTGAGGAAGGGATAGTAGACAAGGTGAGGAAGGGATAGTAGACAAGCTGAGGAAGGGATAGTAGACAAGCTGAGGAAGGGATAGTAGACAAGCTGAGGAAGGGATAGTAGACAAGCTGAGGAAGGGATAGTAGACAAGCTGAGGAAGGGATAGTAGACAAGGTGAGGAAGGGATAGTAGACAAGCTGAGGAAGGGATAATAGACAAGCTGAGGAAGGGATAGTAGACAAGGTGAGGAAGGGATAGTAGACAAGGTGAGGAAGGGATAGTAGACAAGGTGAGGAAGGGATAGTAGACAAGCTGAGGAAGGGATAGTAGACAAGCTGAGGAAGGGATAGTAGACAAGGTGAGGAAGGGATAGTAGACAAGGTGAGGAAGGGATAGTAGACAAGCTGAGGAAGGGATAGTAGACAAGCTGAGGAAGGGATAGTAGACAAGGTGAGGAAGGGATAGTAGACAAGCTGAGGAAGGGATAGTAGACAAGCTGAGGAAGGGATAGTAGACAAGGTGAGGAAGGGATAGTAGACAAGGTGAGGAAGGGATAGTAGACAAGCTGAGGAAGGGATAGTAGACAAGCTGAGGAAGGGATAGTAGACAAGGTGAGGAAGGGATAGTAGACAAGGTGAGGAAGGGATAGTAGACAAGGTGAGGAAGGGATAGTAGACAAGCTGAGGAAGGGATAGTAGACAAGGTGAGGAAGGGATAGTAGACAAGCTGAGGAAGGGATAGTAGACAAGGTGAGGAAGGGATAGTAGACAAGGTGAGGAAGGGATAGTAGACAAGGTGAGGAAGGGATAGTAGACAAGCTGAGGAAGGGATAGTAGACAAGCTGAGGAAGGGATAGTAGACAAGGTGAGGAAGGGATAGTAGACAAGGTGAGGAAGGGATAGTAGACAAGCTGAGGAAGGGATAGTAGACAAGCTGAGGAAGGGATAGTAGACAAGGTGAGGAAGGGATAGTAGACAAGGTGAGGAAGGGATAGTAGACAAGGTGAGGAAGGGATAGTAGACAAGCTGAGGAAGGGATAGTAGACAAGGTGAGGAAGGGATAGTAGACAAGCTGAGGAAGGGATAGTAGACAAGCTGAGGAAGGGATAGTAGACAAGGTGAGGAAGGGATAGTAGACAAGGTGAGGAAGGGATAGTAGACAAGCTGAGGAAGGGATAGTAGACAAGGTGAGGAAGGGATAGTAGACAAGGTGAGGAAGGGATAGTAGACAAGGTGAGGAAGGGATAGTAGACAAGGTGAGGAAGGGATAGTAGACAAGCTGAGGAAGGGATAGTAGACAAGCTGAGGAAGGGATAGTAGACAAGGTGAGGAAGGGATAGTAGACAAGCTGAGGAAGGGATAGTAGACAAGCTGAGGAAGGGATAGTAGACAAGCTGAGGAAGGGATAGTAGACAAGCTGAGGAAGGGATAGTAGACAAGCTGAGGAAGGGATAGTAGACAAGCTGAGGAAGGGATAGTAGACAAGGTGAGGAAGGGATAGTAGACAAGCTGAGGAAGGGATAATAGACAAGCTGAGGAAGGGATAGTAGACAAGGTGAGGAAGGGATAGTAGACAAGGTGAGGAAGGGATAGTAGACAAGGTGAGGAAGGGATAGTAGACAAGCTGAGGAAGGGATAGTAGACAAGCTGAGGAAGGGATAGTAGACAAGGTGAGGAAGGGATAGTAGACAAGGTGAGGAAGGGATAGTAGACAAGCTGAGGAAGGGATAGTAGACAAGCTGAGGAAGGGATAGTAGACAAGGTGAGGAAGGGATAGTAGACAAGCTGAGGAAGGGATAGTAGACAAGCTGAGGAAGGGATAGTAGACAAGGTGAGGAAGGGATAGTAGACAAGGTGAGGAAGGGATAGTAGACAAGCTGAGGAAGGGATAGTAGACAAGCTGAGGAAGGGATAGTAGACAAGGTGAGGAAGGGATAGTAGACAAAGTGAGGAAGGGATAGTAGACAAGCTGAGGAAGGGATAGTAGACAAGCTGAGGAAGGGATAGTAGACAAGCTGAGGAAGGGATAGTAGACAAGCTGAGGAAGGGATAGTAGACAAGGTGAGGAAGGGATAGTAGACAAGGTGAGGAAGGGATAGTAGACAAGCTGAGGAAGGGATAGTAGACAAGCTGAGGAAGGGATAGTAGACAAGCTGAGGAAGGGATAGTAGACAAGGTGAGGAAGGGATAGTAGACAAGCTGAGGAAGGGATAGTAGACAAGCTGAGGAAGGGATAGTGGACAAGCTGAGGAAGGGATAGTAGACAAGCTGAGGAAGGGATAGTAGACAAGCTGAGGAAGGGATAGTAGACAAGGTGAGGAAGAGGAAAGGAAAGGGAAAGACAGTGCGGAAAGAGAGAAAACAAGAACGTCAATTCCAACCGAAAGAATGCCGTGCCATGGCTTGCCATGCATGCCCCCCTCATGAAGCAGTATTTATGCGAAGACCCCCACTCTCATGCCGTACAACAATGTCATGCCATACCATATTAAGCCATGCTATGCCATACCAAGGCAAGCCATGTGACTCACATGGCAAGAGCACTAGCTGCGAGCTCGTTCGCCCGCCCACCGAAGTGGTCTGCCTCTTTGCCCGCCTCCACTGCTGCCTGTAGCTCCACCCACTCCTGATGCCCGGGAGAGAGGGCAGTGGGGGTTGGAGAGACGAGAGGTGAGGTGAGGAGAAAGCACAGAGATGGGGGTTGGAATGGAAGGGGCACCAATTTCTGATATTGTAGGCAGCGGTAGGTGCACAGAAGACATGCAAGGGTGGTTTCAATAATGGACATGAGGAATACCAGTCAGGAAAGGCGAGTGGAAGAAACAACGCCACGCAAATGCGCATCACATCACCGGTGCGTCGCTGCACCGCACCTCACCTCGCTCTCCTGCAGCTGGGCTCACCTCGCTCTCCTGCAGCTGGGTGAGCTTCTCCGCGGCGATCTGCTCGCAGCGCACCGTGGCCACCATCACCTGGTGGGGTGGAGAGGGAAGGAGGGGTGGGGAGAGACGGTGGGGAGAGACGGTGGGGAGAGACGGTGGGGAGAGACGGTGGGGAGAGACGGTGGGGAGAGACAAGGTGGGGAGAGACGGTGGGGAGAGACGGTGGGGAGAGACAAGGTGGGGAGAGAGACAAGGTGGGGAGGGGGAAGGGGGAGGACAGGGGGATAAGCAACCATCGCCTCTGTGGCGATCTGGTCACGGGGCACTAGCGTCACCATCTCTTGTTAGGGTGGGGTGGTGGTAGGGGGAAAACCAGAGTGAATGGTGCAACGAGAGTGGTGCAAGGACACTCGCATGGAAGGAGGAAATCGTAAGGCCCCACTCGGTCACACTCCTTCATCCACACACACACATGGGACAAAACCCCAAGAAATAGCATCCTCACACAAGCATGAATAGATAGAGCCCCGCAGCACAGCACACACACCTTGTGGGCGAGCACAGCACACTCACCTTGTGGGCGAGCACAGCACACACACCTTGTGGGCGAGCACAGCACACACACCTTGTGGGCGAGCACAGCACACACACCTTGTGGGCGAGCACAGCACACACACCTTGTGGGCGAGCACAGCACACACACCTTGTGGGCGAGCACAGCACACACACCTTGTGGGCGAGCACAGCACACACACCTTGTGGGCGAGCACAGCACACACACCTTGTGGGCGAGCACAGCACACACACCTTGTGGGCGAGCACAGCACACACACCTTGTGGGCGAGCACAGCACACACGCCTTGTGGGCGAGCAAGACAAGGTCCTTGTCCCTCGACATATCTTCGCCTCCCTCCTTCCCTCTTACCAATCGTCCACAAGGAAACATATCCTCCCACACAATCTCACATACTCGCACACAAGCACAGACAGAGTGGCGCAGCACACCTTGTGAGCGGGCAGGTCGAGGTCCTTGTTCTCGCGGATCACGCGCCACATCTCCGCCACGCTCAAGGGGAACCCCGATGCCGGCACCACCCCCCGCCGGTCCCCCGCCACCCGCCCCTCCACCACCGAGTCTTGAAACCGCTCCCTCAGCCGTGCTACCTGCACAGGGGGGTAGGTTAGGGGTGGGGGAGTTGGGTTGAAGGCGGTGGGAGATTGCGGGTTAAACAGGGTCTTTAGACACTTGAGCCCCGCCAGTCCCCCTCCACCCGCCCCTCCGCCACCGCATCCTGAAACCACTCCCTAGGCTGTGCCACCTAAGGAGAAAAAAAAAGGAAAAAGTTGGGGATATTGGAAAGTGGGCGAAATCAATGAGGGAGTAGGGGGGCTGAGCCCCGGCATGCGGGCATCAATGGTTGAGCCCCACGAGCCCCACGAAAGGGGGTTGAGCCCCACGAGTCTCCTGCAAGTTTCCCGCCATCCGCCCCCCCACCATCGAGTCCTGCAACTGGGGCGGAGAGCGGGACCGGGTCGGGGCGGAGCGGGGTGGCGACGCCCGATTAGGCAGCCAAGCAGGAATAGCTTGACTGGAAGGGCGAAAGGAGATTTCGAGGGTGGGGAGAGGAGAAGACTGTACGTTTGCAACAGCACAGGTAGCACACCTGGCTCTTGAAGTCCTCCTCTCTCTCCTCAAAGTTGGGCAGAGCTGTGACCTCCACCTGTTACACACGTATGCATGCACATGCACAAGCACATGCCATGCCCATCCCATGCCCATGCCCATGCCCATGCCCATGCCCATGCACATGCACATGCACATGCCATGCACATCCCATGCCCATGCCCATGCACAATCGCATGCACATGCATATGCATAAGGACACACATGCACATGCGCGCACACACACACGAGGAGGCCGGATGTGGATGGGGGCTAGGTAGCTACATGGAGAATATGAGCGAAGGGCAGGAGAGATGGAAGGGGAGAACGAACGAGTCGAGGGAAGGGAGGAAAGAGGGGCAGAGGGAAGAAAGCAACAAGGGAAGGGAAAGGGAAGGGGAGGCAGGGGGGGACGAATGAAACGAAGGAATCAGCTGAAAGCTAGATACGCAGCGTGTGTTGGAAAATTTTGCAGACTGTTGTTGAGAGTTCTCAACACACAGACTGTGACATCAAGGAACGTTGCAAGCAGCTGAAAGTCACATACATATGAGAAGTCAACAAAGGGTGTGCTCAATGATTGTGTGGGGTGATTCTAAACTTGTTGACAACAGCATGCAGAATCAATCAACGCTGGAAGGAAGCAGCTGTTAAGAGCATACATTGAAGAAGTCAGCAAAGGGTGTGTCGTGATGCTTCTGCGGCTTGGGTACGCTCTGCCATATCTGCAGCCGACACACAAGTGAGTAGCAGAGGCGAGAAGGCAGGAGGAAGAAACGAGAGACACATGATGCAGACAAGTCATGCGGCTGGACCTGCAAGGAACCAACGCTGTAAACGATTTGATTGGATACAATCCAATAATATGCACCTAATCCAATCGGGTGAATGGAGAAAAGAATCAACGTTTCCAGCAAGCCCTTTTGTTGACAAGGCCCAAGGCAAGGCATGGGCGGCGCACCTTTTGAATGTCCTCCCTCAATATGGGCTCGAGTGTCTCCATTGGGGTCTGCCCCGCCATGCCATGCCATGGCGCGCACGCACAGAGGCAGCACACACAGAGGTGGGTGGGATGTGGGATGACAGGGGGCACAGCGGCACGCAGCACACAGAGATGAAATGGGATGAAGTAGGTGATACTAGCATGGATTGCAGCAGTGAGCGGGAAGAGTGGGTGGGTGTAGCAGTGCAGCGTGCGAGGCACCTTGGTCTTGTCGCGGATGACGAAGAGCAGCGTGGCCTTGCGCGGCGAGAACAGGCGCATCATCACCTGCCTCACCACAAGAAGGGACGGGGGAGGAGCAGTGGGAGGGTTGTTGCTCAGTATGAGATGAGACACGAGACGTCTCAAAGTTTGAACGGGACACAGTCCACACGCAGCTGAAAGTTAGAAGCAGGGAGGCTTGCCACAGAAAGTCTAAGATGTGCATACAGCACAGCACAGCACAGCACAGCACAGCACAGCACAGCACAGCACACACGCAGGGCGCACCTGAAAAACCGTTTTCAGCAATGGCTTGTTGGAGGCTTGCTCTCGACCAATGTCGTGGCACCACCTGGCATGACACGACAGGACAGCGCCGCACAGGGCAACGTAATGGTTGGTGATGCAGGGCAATAAGGTGAGGCAGTTGCAGGTGCAGTTGAAGTTGAAGTTGCAGTTTGAAGTGCGAAACAAGTGGTGATCCACGAGGGTATGCGCGGAGAGGCGACGGATGGATGCACATGCGCTTGCAATACCATGATGTGCGGCATTAGTGGAAGAAACAAATGGACAATAGTAGGCCACAGGGACATCAGCATCAGGTACTGAGCACATGTGACTATGCATGGCATGGCATGGCATGTCATGCCACGTGAGTGAATGAAACCATCAACACCAAGCGTGTGTCGCCACGCCCACGGCCGCAGGGCCATACATACATGTTAACGATGATGACGTCAGCGACAGCGAGGGCAAAGAGCGAGCTCTGCTTCTCAAACGTGGTGTCGTCCTGTGCCACAGGTGCAGTAAGGGGAGGGGGAGGTGGGCGCGGAGGGGGGGGGGGGGAGCAGAGGGAAACGGGTCAGGCAGGGGGTGTGAACTGTTGTCCTGCCCGCAGGCAAAGAGTGGGGAGGGGGAACGAGGGGGGGGTTAACATGGGAAGAGTTGATGGGTGGTCATGGGGTAGAGAAGGGGGAAAGGGGGGTGGGTGGGCAGAGGGAGGAAGGCGAGGCGAGGGCAGGGAGCACATTTGATGAGGGGTGGAGCGGAGGGAAGGAAGGGAGGCAAGATTTGGGCAATCAGGACTTGGCAATCCCCCATACGCTGGCCACGTGGGTCGGCCCTGTGACAGCCGTCAGTGAGTGCCTCTGAGGTCAAGCACGAAGGTGAACGGCTGAATACGTTGTGAATCCGCTCACAAGTCCCCGTGCTTCAACCGCACACTCACCTTGCCCCTCACCCTGCCCCCCTCACCCTCGTCTCGCCACTGCCCTCTTCCCCATCCCCCCCCCACCTCGCCCTCGTCTGCCCCCCCCCTGCGACGCACCTCGCCGCGCTCGCGGCTGTCAGTGCCCTCGATGTCCAGCACGAGGGTGAACGGCCGAATGCCGCGCGCCTCCGCCACCCAGATGCCCTGCGTCGTCTGCCGCCTGCCCTTGAGCGCGTCCATCTCATCGAAGGTCGTGTGGAAGAGGTGATTTAGCAGCGTGCTCTTGCCTGCCCACCCCACACACGGGGTGCAGTGACACACGGGTGGGTGAGTGACATGCCCGTCACACGGGGTTGGTTGACAGACAGGGTGGTAACAGAAAAGTAACACAACAAAATGAATAGCGGTAGACAAGCGTTTGGCTCAAGTCCAGAGGGGCCTATCATGTGCGTGTGATATGCCAGCACACGACGAGTGGCGCTATAGGGGATGAGGGGCTAGACGGCAAGCAGCAGCAAGAGGGCAGAGCCCATCCGCGCTTCAAAATACCACGTCAGTGCACTGCACTGCATGCCTTCTAACTTTTCGTTTTCTTCCTCATTTCAGAATTCGTGTGAGGATTCTCAACAGCACTGTAAGGTGCAGGGCAGCATGCAGATGCGCCGCGCCATCCGCAAGACCAGGGGAACTGCGGTGAGATGCGGTTTCAAGGAGTGACGATGAGCGCTGAGGCACCAACATAAGCCCATGACATGGCTGCGGAATTCGCTGGGCCGACAGGTTCAAGGAGCTAGCGAGAGCTTTACGCGTGAAGCAAGAAGCCGGGGGCGAGCGGCAGGGGAGGCTTGGGACAAGCAAGGCGTGTATCGCTGCTGAGGCAAGGCGCGTACCGCTGCTGAGGCAAGGCGCGTACCGCTGCTCTGCGGTCCGACGATGGCGATGACGGCGTACGACAAGCCGCACTCCGTCATCCGCGTCGCACGCGCGAATCGCTCGAGCCCCTCGCGATCGAACTCGCCCGTCCCCGACACGAGCTGCATCCGCATCCCCGCCTCGCCGTCGCCATCGCCGTCGCTCCCCATCGCGAGACTCACTCCCTCAAAAAGCCGTCGTTTCTGGAAAGAGACGCCTAATTTTAGGCGCCTCAAGAATAGAGCCCTTGCTGAATCTAGAGGCGACTTAGAATTCGGTATGGAAGCAAGAAACTGACTGAGAAGGAACACGGCGAATTTGCAGAGGGCCCTCCACGAATCAGATCAGCTTGCGGGTGCGCTAGCCATGCTGAAATCTGATGCTCGTGAAATTGCTACGATGATTTCCAATACCGTAGGGGTTGAAGGAGAAAGGTGAGCAACTGCTTGTGGAAGGAAGGCGTGGCGTGCCTTGAAGCCGAAAGCGTGGGACCAGGGAGGAGGGAGAGAGGGGGGTGTGACTGACCGACAGCGATCAGCGTCAAGACGAAAGGAGCTCATTCCTTGATTTCGTCGTAGCCCATCCGCGATACAGACACGGACAGTTTTCACAGACGGACTCGAATCGGAACTGTGTATGGATCACGCATTATAGAATGTAAATCATGATAATTATTCAAATTGGAAAAGCCTTAAGAGAAAAGCACATACAAACAAATAAACTATATTTAAATACTGAAAAGGCATACAAATCCAACATTTTTTAAAATAATATGAAGGGAAACTCAGAGATAATAAATGTTCTTAAAAAATATATACCTCGAAAATGACTAATAACAATAATACATACTTCTGCCATTTGTGCATTTTCGTGATCGGTGTGCTGGTGGCGGAGTGCCTTCTATGACATCTGCTCCCCGCCATAACCGCTCGGCCGCCAGTTCACCACCCAGACTCTTGTCATCTCAGTCACCCACGATCTCTGTACGTCGTTCAGAGCGCACGTCTCGTCGCTCATTTCCGCTCTCCCGTCCGCGCCTGCTGCATTCTCTTGCGATCGTTCTCGCAGCCTCGGCGACGTTCCTCCTACTGTTTCTCCTAGTCGCTTTCCGCCGCCAGAATAACTGGTCCGAACTCGTACGCGCGCGGAACCTCCGCGCGGTAGCGAGGGACATGCCGGCGGCAGCAGACGAAGGCGCACAGGGCGGGAACTTACCCGGCGCGCATTTTGCGCCGGAGGCCGCCGCAGAGGCGGACGGCAGGGCGGCGGCGAGCGGAAATGGCGGAGCGAAGGAGGGGTTGCGGGTTGTGCTGGTATCGCTGGAGTACCGCGCGGGCACGTTCAGCGGCAACGGCGTCTACTCGCAGTCGCTCGTGCGCTCGCTCGTCGCTCACGGCCACTCCGTGATGGTCGTCAGGTGCGGGGGTAGGGGGGGCCGGGGAGAGGGATGCGGGGAGGCGAGGAGAGAAAGTGCGAGAGTGGGTGAAGTGAGGAGAGGCGGTGTGACGAGCAGACGGCGATGTGGTGGCGGGACGCGCGCCTGGCCCTAGTTGTGCCAAGCAGGTTCTCATCTCGTGCCAGTCGTGCTGCCTTCGCTGGCCTGCCACCTGCTCTTCCCTTCTTTGACGAGCCTTTCCCCTTCTGCCCCAACAATGCTCCCCTCTCCCCCCGCCGCACCTCCCCTCCCTCCCCCTTCCCCTGCAGTGCAGCTCCCCCTCCTCGCACCACCGCACTCCCTCAGCCCAATCCATCCGCCTCTCCTCCTGAGCCCTCGGCGCCCATCGTCATAAGGCTGCGCCAGCAGCGCCCTACAGGCTCTCTCCACTCCGCAGGCCAGCTTTGCGCCGTGGCTCAGCAGGCAGGTGGCAACCAGAACGCAGCAGCGGCGGGCGCACCCTGTGAGCGCGGCGGCAGCAGCGTGGGGGGCCAGAGGAACGGGGCAGAGGAGGAGGAGAAGTCCGTGGAGGCGGAGCGGTGCGGAGTGGTGGAGGTGGGGGAGGCGGGGCAGGTGGAGCAGTGTGTGGTGGAGGTGCCAGTGAGCGCGTGGGGGCGGCTGGACTGGCGCTGCTGCTGGCAGCAGTGGGCGCACCGGCTGGCGGGCGAAGAGGGGTCAGGGGGGACGGAGGTGGCGCGCAGAGTGGCGCAGTTTGCCCCACAGTGGGCGCTGGTGGTGGACTGGTCCGCCGTGCCCGCCTTCACCGCCCTTGCTGCTGCACCCGTGTGGGCTGACACTGTTGCTGCGCATGGCGGTGAGGGTGGTGGTGAGGGTCGCATTGCGGGTAGCAGTGTGGTGGATGGCGTTGGTGAGAGTGGGAGGTCAGGAGGACAGGCAGCAGAGCAGCGGGCTCAGCAAGCACCCAGGCGGCCACGCATGGTGTATCTCAACTTGCGCGTGTACTCGCTCTCACACTACCAGCCGTCTGCCGCCACCACGTCTGGCCCTGCTGCAGCCGACAGTGCCGGGGAGAAGGGTGAGCGGGGGGCGGAGGTGGAGACGGAGGCGGGCAGGGAGCGGGCGTTTTACCGGGAGAAGGAGAGCGAGGCAGTTGCCATGGCGGATGTCGTCACGGCCCTCAGCACACGGTGAGATGTTGTCACGGCCCTCAGCACACGGTGAGATGCCATGGGCGATTTTGAGATGAGCACTTGGGAGATGAGCGGTTGTTGTGCGATGAGCACTTGGGAGATGAGCGGTTGTTGTGCGATGAGCACTTGGGAGATGAGCGGTTGTTGTGAGATGAGCACTTGGGAGATGAGCGGTTGTTGTGCGATGAGAGGTTGTGCGATGAGCGGTTGTGAGGTGAGGAGTTGTGATAGCACAGCGAGATGGGTTGCTTGCAGCGCAAGATGGAATGCTCTGATAACCTGATCACTTCAAATGGTAGGGAAGTGAAGCCCATTTTGCCCAATATCTGAAGCTCATTCTGGCCCATCCCCACTTCGCCTTCATCCAGCTCCCATGTCTCCCCCCATGCTCCCAGGGACGCACGGTACCTGGCAGAGAGCCTGGGCACGGGGCGCAAGGCAGGGGTGGAGCCACACGCGCTGCTGCCGCCCCTCCGAGAAGACATCCGCGTGCTGGCAGCGGGGCGAGAGAGTGAGTGAAAGTGGAAGTGTGTGTGGGGTTGACAAGGAGCAATAGATCTATTGCTCGTTGTCAAGGACTTGGTGTTCCTTTTGTTGTCGCAGCAACCAAGGAGAGTAAGTGATTGACAGTAGGGAAGGCAAGCGGTGGAGAGCAGAGCAGGTCAACTGGGCGCTGTTCGTGTCAGTGCACCGGACAGCACGCCAACATCAACATGTACTACCGTCCACCAAAGCTACTCTTCCCTTCCAGCCCTCCCCACGTCTCTTATCCCCGCTCCTACCTCCGTCTGTTGACGCCCCAGCTTGTGTCCAACCCCCCAGCTTGTGTCCAACCCCCCAGCTTGTGTCCAACCCCCCAGCTTGTGTCCAACCCCCCAGCTTGTGTCCAACCCCCCAGCTTGTGTCCAACCCCCCAGCTTGTGTCCAACCCCCCAGCTTGTGTCCAACCCCCCAGCTTGTGTCCAACCCCCCAGCTTGTGTCCAACCCCCCAGCTTGTGTCCAACCCCCCAGCTTGTGTCCAACCCCCCAGCTTGTGTCCAACCCCCCAGCTTGTGTCCAACCCCCCAGCTTGTGTCCAACCCCCCAGCTTGTGTCCAACCCCCCAGCTTGTGTCCAACCCCCCAGCTTGTGTCCAACCCCCCAGCTTGTGTCCAACCCCCCAGCTTGTGTCCAACCCCCCAGCTTGTGTCCAACCCCCCAGCTTGTGTCCAACCCCCCAGCTTGTGTCCAACCCCCCAGCTTGTGTCCAACCCCCCAGCTTGTGTCCAACCCCCCAGCTTGTGTCCAACCCCCCAGCTTGTGTCCAACCCCCCAGCTTGTGTCCAACCCCCCAGCTTGTGTCCAACCCCCCCAGCTTGTGTCCAACCCCCCAGCTTGTGTCCAACCCCCCAGCTTGTGTCCAACCCCCCAGCTTGTGTCCAACCCCCCAGCTTGTGTCCAACCCCCCCAGCTGCGTCCATCTCTTCTGCGACAGACCCTGACGGCTTTCCCAGCTTCCGAGCCACTTGTCACTCCACCTGCTCCCTCAATCCCTCCTCCCAACCGCAGTGAGCGCGGCCTCATGGCCATCGGAGCGACTGTACCTGGTGTGCTGTGTGCGCCTCTCCCCCGAGAAGAACGCCGCCTTGCTGCCTCCCCTGCTGCGCCTGCTGGCGCCGCACCTGGCAGCTCTGGGCGTCACGCCCCTGCTGTGCGGCGGCACTGCCGCCACACGCGGTGCCTTCGGGGAGGCCGTGCTGCACGAGGTGGTGGCGGCTGCACCGGGTGCCGTGGTGGTGGATGGCTTCATGGGGCCTGAAAGGATGGCGCAGCTTTACTTGCAGGTAATGGCCACGGGTACCCGTGTCACTGCCTGACTGCTCATGCCTGCGTTGCCGCCTGTGCCCATGTGTCCATCGCCTTGAATGTAACGACAGCCTGGCAGTGGTGCTGCAGTCGATGCCCTACTTCCCTCTTCTCACACACACACCACCTGCACGATCCCACCACAGTATACCTCATTCTGTGTCACTGGTGTTCGCATTCACCTCATTCCTCCTTTTGCTCCCCCATCCTCACGCCCCCATTCCTATCTGCCATGTCCTGTTTCTCATGCACCCACACTCTCCTTCTCCCCTCTCCCTTTCTTCCCCTCTCCCTTTCTCCCGCTCTCCCCCTCTTCCCCACTCTCCCTCTCCCCATCGCCCCTTTCCTCCCTCGTCCTCTCCCTCTCTCCCTCTCCCCCTCTCCCCCTCTCCCCTCTCTCCCTCTCCCTCTCCCTCTCCTCCACCTCCCCCCCCCCCCCCCCCCAGACGCTGCTCAACATCCACCCCTGTCTGTACGACGCATACGGCATGACAGTCGTTGAGGCGGCAGCCTTCTCTGCACCCTCCGTCATCCACGTCGGCCCGGGCGGCGCCGTGGGAGCAGCCGAGCTCCTGTCGCCCGAAGAGCAGCTGGCACTGCCGGTGGACCTCTCTGCCGCCCTGCCAGTTGTTGCTGAGAGCATTCTGGCGCTGTTGCGGGACAGGCAGCATCTGGCGCAGGTGGGGCTGGCGGCGAGACGGCGTAGTTTGGAGTGGAGTGAGGAGGCCAGTGCGCGTGCCCTCACTGCCATGCTGCAGAGGGCGTCGGTCTAGGCACCAGCGTAGAGAGGGTTGTTGTTGACTTGTGCACTCCCACCCAGGGCCCTTAATTCGTTGTAGACTTGTGTGATTCGCATGGCTAAGAGACATTGGATAGACAGAAGCAGCAGTCGCCATCATCTCTGGACTGAGAGCAAATGATCCAGAATTGGGTGTTCTGTTCATCGTGCCTTCAAAATGGCGTACCAACCACGGGTGAACTGCCATGACAGTGCCCATTGTTGATTGATGATGCGTCATGTGTCCGAGCTGGCCATTGAACCCGAATGAATCTTGTGCCACATGATTCGCATCATTCAATGTTCTAGGAAAACATGTATATTTTCAAAAGCTGTAACGCTTTTTAAAATTATGTATTTTGAAAGCGAAGCTGCCTGTAATGTAGGATTTGGCAGCGTCGAGCCGCGCTAAACGCCCGTTTTGGAGTACAAAACGTGGGCTGGAGGTCATTTCCCTCCACCCACGTCTCTCATTTTCAAACGGTTTAGCCGATCTTCCCACCCACCCCCCCTCGAAAGCAGGATAGCCTTGATAACAAAGAGGCATACGGTATTATTGTAATGACGCTGCTTGGATTTCAATTGTACTAAACCCATTTGAAATGAGACGATGCCAATTGCTACATGCAAGAAAGCAAGCTTTCTAAATCAATATTTTTATCCGCTGGAAGGACCGCACTTAAACTACCGTAATCCCCGGATATAAGACCCCCCAAAAATAGAACACCCCAAGTTAGCTAATAAGGGAGGGAGTGTTTGTTAAGCCTCGAAATTGTTTTTGTCGAGAGTAAAGGGAAAGGATCGTTCGACTATCGAGAAAGTTGGTGAGGACACAAACTATACCCAACATTAGCTACCCCACTAAAGCCTACATACCGTATTTAGAAAGCTTGCTTTCTTGTGTTTGCAAAGGCAACGAGCTTCGTTTCAAATGGGCATTACATCATTCTCGTCCGGGATATATATGGTACCTACATTACACATGACAACATGCAATTTTTGCTAGGGTGGGTGGGTGGGAAATACGGTAAGACATTTGAAATTTCAAACGAAGACGTGGGTGGAGGCCATTTGGCCATTTGCCCTGCTATATAGTTGGCGAAGAGCGTCTAGCACTTCGCCGTTGCCATTGCTGCAGTACAAGCAGCTTCGCTTTCAAAAAACACATTTTTAGAAAGTGTTACAAACTTAAAAAAAAAATCATTTTATTATGACATAGGCATATAGTTTGACACACCCCCATAGGCAAAGTGGGGGAGAGCAAAGAGTCACAACACTATTCAAGAGAAGCAAAGCAAGCTCAGGGTGGATCACAACATCACCACATACACTAAGCACAAGCAAAGGGCCACAAGGCCAATTCACATGCAGAGGTATATATGCAACAACACCAGTACAGTGATCTCTACCTAGAAGAGCAAGCATGCAGATATATATATAGATCACAGTACAAGCAAAGTCTACAGCAAGTGAGGAAAAGTGGGCACAAGGCCTAACAAAGTGCAGAAACGCTGATGATCACCAGACGGAAGTGCCTTGGTGAATATATCAGCAGTGTTGGCCCGAATGGCCACGTGAGCAAGACGAAGCTGACCACGCTGCTGCAACTCTCGAGCCAGGAAGTAACGCAGAGCGATGTGCTTCGTTATGTGCTCCAGTCTGTGCTCCTGACACAAGGCAATGGCGGCCTTGTTGTCGAAGTACAGCACTGGAGGAGAACGAGGCCTCTCTCCCAAGTCGGTCAGCAGGTAGGTGAGCCAGCGTAACTCCTGTGCAGCCATGGCTGTGGCATAGATCTCAGCCTCACAACTGGAGGTGAGAACTGAAGACGAGCGTATAGAACGCCAAGAAACTGAACCAGAGCCAAGGCTGAAGGTGTAACCCTTTGACGATCGCTGCGTAGCCTGGTCGTCAACCCAAGAAGCGTCTAAGTGCCCGGTGAGGACAACGTCGCTCCTTCCTCCAAGCACGAGCCCCATGCCCGATGTACTGCACAAGTAGCGTAGTACCCTCTTAGCAGCATCCATGTGCACCTTTCGGTGCCGACCAGGAGCCACGTAGCGAGCCAGAAGGCCAAGAGGGTACGCAAGGTCAGGACAAGTGCAGGTCATCAGGTACATGAGGCCGCCCACTAGCTCTGGGTAAGGACAACTCGGCTCTACGGACTCGTCCGAAGGTGGAGCTCAGAGTGAGTGACCTGTAGCCAGAGGAGTGGCTTGTGCCGAGGACCAGGTGAAGCCGAAGCGCTGAAGGACCTACTGCACCATGTGTGACTAAGTCAGTGTGATGGTGCGGCGTGCTCTGTCCCGGTTGATCTGCAAGCCAAGGTAACTGCACAGCTCACCCAGGTCTGTGCACGTGTGTCTCTTCTGCAGCTCCGACTTCACCAGGGCGAGAGCCTCAGTGTCAGCAGTGGCAAAGACCAAGTTGTCGACGTATACGAGGATGTAGAACGGCGGCAGCGAAGTGTCGGTGCCCAGAAAGAGCGACGGGTCAGTAGTCGACGGAGCAAACCCAAGAGCCGCAAGTGTCGTCCCATCACGTGGCGCCTGGCGGAGACCGTAGACCGGCCGCGGGAGGCTCCACTGGGTACCAGGAGGGAACAACCCAGTGAAGCCAGGCAGGCGGCGCAGCCAGATCTCCTCGTGTAGGCTGCCCTGCAAGAAAGCTGTGCTGAAGTCAAGAGAGTGAAGCTCGTAGTCACGCTGAGCGGCAACGTGCAGCAACACCCGAAAAGTGGTCATCTTCGGGGTGGGGGAGAAGGTCTTGAAGAAGTCCACTCCCTCCCGCTGACTGAAGCCATGGCTGTCTGCCATTGAGAGGAGACGGGATTTCTATCGCCTCTGCGTAAGAGCGCGGGGTGGGGATGTCTGGAGCATCCGGGTCTCCCTCAGGGTTAAGTAGCATGGACACGAGATGAGGCGCAGCGGCTGCAAGACACTCAAGGTCCTCCTGCCTGTCCTCAAGGACGTCCGTGCCAAGAGCACACCCACCCCTGACGGACGGAGGACAGACATACTCAGACTCAACAACAAGACTAGCGGCGTAGTCTAGACGATAGGCAGCAGCAAAGTCAAGAAACTCAGCGACTAAGGCAGACGCAACAGCAGACTCAAACGACGGGTCAGTGACAACGGTGGCGAGCAGACGCGTAACAGTAGGGTGAGCAGCACGAGCGGGGTCAGACTCAGGCTCTGGACCGTCAGGTAGAGAAGACGCAGGAGGGGACGACAGGGGAAGACACTGTGGAGCAGAGGAAGGACGCAGGGCCATGAGGTGTGTGCTAGGGACAGCCGGCGGACGCTCACGAGGAACACGACGACCAGTACGACTAGTGCGGACAGTGCGAATAGGCGAGACAGGATGAGACGCAGGCTCACGACGCTCAGCAAGACCGCCTATCAGCTCAGTGTAAGGAGAAGGAGTAGGCAGCGGTAAGCCAGGTTGTAACGAAAGACCAGTAGAAGACGGGAGGCTAAGAACCTGGCGAAGTACGGAGCCAGGCGGTGGCAGAGACGAAGGTGACGGCGGAGCAAAGAACAGTCACGGCGGTGCAGTGCCACCAGCACCAGTAGCTCCAGCACCTCCTACAGCTCCAGAACCTCCAGCGCCAGCACCCGCAGCAGCTCCAGAACCTCCAGCTCCAACGCCACCAGTGCCAGCACCTCCAACAGCTTTAAAACCTCCAGCTCCAGCACCCGCAGCAGCTCCAGAACCTCCAGCTCCAGTGCCACCAGCGCTAGCACCTCCAACAACTCTAGAACCTCCAGCGCCAGCACCCGCAGTAGCTCCAGAACCTCCAGCTCCAGCGCCACCAGCAGGAGCACCCCCAGAGCTGTCACCTCCAGCTCCAGAGCCTCCAACCTCAGAGTCGACAACAGCACCTCCAGGACCAGCTGCTCTAGGAATTCCAGTAGAAACAACTCCATTAGTAGAGTCACCAGCTCCAGCGCCTCCCGCAGCGGGGCCCCTAGCTCCAGCAGCGCGACCCTGGCGGCTAACGTACCACTCACGCAGCTGCTGTGGGGAGAGAGGGGCAGCGCCGGCTCCAGTGCCTCCAACACCTGCGCCTCCCGCAGCAGGGTCCCCGGCTCCAGGAGCTTGACCCTAACGGCGGACGTACCACTCACGAAGCTGCTGTGGGGAGAGAGGGAGACGACGACGAGAGTGCAGCGGCGAGGCACCGGCAGAGCGACTACGAAGACGGCCGCTCCAGGAGACTACTCACCAGACGCCTCAGCGCCCCCAGGTGCAGCACCCCCAGACTCCTCACGCCCAGGCTCAGCACCTCCAGGCTCCGCACTTCCAGGATCAGCACCCCCAGGCTCCGCACCCCCAAGCTCAGCACCCCCAGAAGCAACAGGACCACCCGCAGCAGGACCTGAGTCACCAGTGACCTCAACCGGCGCACTCAAGGGAGGAGGGTCTACCTGAGACACACCTGAAGGAGCAGGACCGGGAGCGGGGAGGGGGTCTACTCGGGTAGGACCAAGAGCGGGAAGAGTGGCGGGGGGGGGAGAGGGGCAGTGCGGTAGGGGAAGAGACGGTAAAAGGGAACCGACTCGTCGAACGTGACGTCTTGAGAGGGGAAGTCACGGCGCGAGGTGGGGTGGTAAAACTGTCAACCAGGTGCGTCAGGGACAAAGCCAAGGAAGACACAGGGAACAGCGCGGGCGGAGAGCTTGTCCGTAGTGGTATCGCGGACAAAGGCACAAGAACCCCACACCCGGAACACCGATGCATCGCCAACCTCCCCCGTCCACCGCAGTGTGGGCGAGGTCTCCGGCAAGGAGACACGGGGCTAGAGGTTGAGCTGATGCGCGGCGTAGCGGACCGCAAACGGCCACAGAAAATGGGGGGCAACTGCATGGACCATGGAGGTACGAGCGACCTCCATGATCAAGCCAATGCGGCGCTCAGCAACCCCATTCTGCTGTGGAGAGGCCGGAAGCGTGAACGTCTGGCGAATGCCCTCCCCACGACAAAAGCTCTGCA